GGGATGACGATATCGCACGCACCGCGTGTCAGGCGAGGCACAGCAGCATGCGGGCTTGCCTCCTTGTGTAAGGCGCCATGGTGCCTTGGGGTAGGCACACCTGCAATACTAGTGTAGTGTTGTAGCCCTAACACACGGCATGTATATGTATACTGCCCGCTATGCCAGGAGGCTGTTGAGCGAGTGTTTCGCGATATTATGCGATGTCGGCGTAATTTCGATCAATAGAGCCTTTTTTTCACAGTTGCATCTCTGTGCCTAGGCGTCCAATCGTCAGGCACGCCCTACAAAACTAAGGTTTTCTTTGCACGGGTGGTAAGAAGCGTAAGGTAGGGGGGGGGGGGGCATACCTAGTGAGCCGCCTGAAAGGTAGGCAATAAGTGCTACGACACCCGTGTGAGTAGGCAACCCTCGGCACCGTCCCTCCTGTTAGCCGGGCCTACCTCGCCCGGACTGGACACCATTTTAGTCACAACCAGCCAAAGATTTTGGCCAAAGTGACCAAACATTTTTCGCAGTGTCCTTCCGAAAGCCAAGTCGCTCGAAGCGCACGCATGTAGGGTGCAGGGCAGGACATCCCTTCGGAGGCTCCGGGGGCCACTTCGAGGTGAGTGGAAATCCTCTGCCCCCAACCGCCTAGCAGCGGGCCCAGCCCCTCAGGGACCAGGGACCTCCTCGGGAACCGGGGCTGGGACATGCTCCTGGAACCGCATTGCCACTTAGCATCGCCGCCCGACCTGGCCAAGTCGAGTCAAGGTCAGGGGTGAGGAAGGCTGCCAAAGTCTTGATGTGAACGATACGAGTGCGCGCGCACACGCATACACAGTCTGGTGTGGTGTCTACGACCTTCGTTGACTGAGCGCTCACTGGCGTGCTGCGTTCTCTGCAAACCCAAAGTGTGTGCATGCACCGGTCTTATCAGAGCAGACGCCGCAGTGTTGCGGGTCTGCCTACTTCGCCGGCTGTAAGGTGCTATGGCCTCTGTGGCGCGGCGGCCCCAGAGGGCAGGCGAACCCGCAACTCTGCGGCAGCCGCTCTTGTTACACCTGGTGCATTATCTCCTGAAGACCGAGCTGAAGACCCTCATGTATGCGTTATGCGTTTCCTGAGTACCTGCCATGTATTCGGTACATAGGCATACACACACTATTTACTGAATAACATAAGAGTATTCAGGAATACATGTACACGCATACATGCATACACGTACACACTTGGGTTTGCAGAGTTAAAGGGGAGGACGACTGGCAACTGGCAGCTGTCCGTAAAACAGTGTTGCCGCCTCAGCGAACTGGACAATCTGTTGTTTAAAAAACAAAAACATCAGGAAAACAAAAACCGCGGTGGCAACACTGTAGCAGCAGATTGCTGAAGAGAGCGATCAGAGTTGCCTTGCGTTGATCCCGCGTGTGTGAGTACCCTGCGCAATAAATACACGCTCCGAACATTTTCGCCTCATGAAAATTTTGTCCCGATTTTCTTTCTGAGAGAGGAGGGGCTATTTTGGTGGTAGTCCAACTGCCCGAGACGACTTTGAGCTCGAACGAGTGTTTTTACGCAGAGCATTATGGTTTCTGGTAGCAGTATGATACCCCCTGTACTATCTATACTACTTCTGCTGATTCTGAAGCGAAACGAAAGATGAACCACCGAATACGGAATTTAAGGCAGACGCTAAGGACGACATGCCGACATCCCTAGACTCTTAAAGATCGTGCAAACCAGGTGCGCAAAACGGCGCACATGTCGCCTACTAGACAAGCGTTAGTTGCAGCCTGCTGCACACACGTGTTTCCGTGGTAACTTTTTGCCTACCCACTTGGCAACACTGTTCCCCGTCCTCCTGCAAGAGGCAATTGACAACCAAATAATTACGGTGTTCTTTAGCACAATCACGGCGCCAAAGTCTCGGAGGGGGGGGGGGCGTACCTGTGCTTTCCTTATTAGCCCGGCTCATTGTAAAAGGTTTTTGTCGGTTTTTAGGGGGAAATTGTCCCAGAGGAATATTGTAAATTTACACTTCAAATTTTAATAAGAAGAAATTGTCATGGCACTATATGCACACGCATATCGACTTTGAATTCTCCGTCGAGCAAAAATATCTGTCGTACACGGTCGTAAACGATCGTCAATTTTCGATACCGATTGTAAATTACAAAAAAATACCCTGCTAATTACCATATTTTTTTACGGTGCTGGGTCTGCATCCTCGCCACTGTACTGAGCTACTGTACTGTGGACATCGCACCAGCTCGGCAGTACAGTACAGTCCGGCCACGCACCGGCCGCTACCATACCATTCATGCCATGAGCTCATCTCGGTGACTCGCCTGCGGTATGGAGGCCGGGCTGAGCGACTATACTGTCCCACTGCGCCGCATTGTAATGGTTGTCCTGCCCATTTTGTTGTTTATGTTGAATGGCAGAAGCTCCAAGACACGCCTTGCCATTTGTTTTCCTAAATGTTTCTTTTTAAAGCATCCTCTTTGCTTCCTGTTACAAATAAGGCTAAATTGTAGGTTTTGCGATACTCCGGCTGGTGCTGTGGCGTGGCGGCCGGTGGCGGCGGCCTGCCATGTGATGGGCATGACTTGCATGAGAGCCAGTGGACGGCCCGCCATGTCGGCGATATGTGACCCGGCTGCGCCCTGCTACCAGCCCTGCTCGACAGCTAGGCGCGCACGCAGTCCACTTTTGTGGTCGATCCTCTCGAAGCGATACGAGTCGGTGACGGTATCAAGCAGCCCGGTGCCGACGGCCGATGGAGCTCTGCGATACCAGGAGACGGTTTGTGTGAGCAGGGCGGGGCGGGCGAGGGCCGGGCCCCCCACCCAGGCCCGTAGGCGGCTGAACCCGGCTCGCTATCCCGGTCACGATAATTCAAATAAGGTGCAAACTCATGACTCACAGCTGGTCCCATGAAGCCCAAATGTACACTCATCGGGGGTGGGACATCTCTATCAGAATATTGCCCTGGTAAAAAAAAGGCGTTTTTCTGGCCTACATCCAGAGAACAAAAAGTCATGGCGACGTCAACACACATGACGGATAACGACGTCAACAAACGATCCAAGCTTGATTCGTGGGCTCCAGGTTTGGCTCTAATTGGTGTCAAGAGGACCTCGCCGTGTGCCTCTGCTCTCCTAGGCCGGTTGAGTAGAAACAATAAATAATACTCCACATGAGCGCTCCTTTTTTAAACGCCGATGGTCTTTTTTCTTTTTTTGCGCGCGCGCGCGTGTATCTTAAATGCACAGTCGCAGAAGAGCCCCGACCGCCGACACAGCCCTCAATTGCCCCCTCTGTTCAAACTCTCGGTTTCGTTCCCGCTTGCCAAAGCCACTAAGTGTCCTGAAGTAC